GTTTGCTCCCTCATTAGTCCAAGCAGCTTTTCAGTAGCCTGTTGGTCCTCCTGACGCCACCTCTCCTCCCGTTCCATGACTGCTCGGTGCATTTGTGACAAGTTCTCCCTCCACTGTGTCTGCTGGGCTGCCTGGGCTCGGGAGCAGCCCATTAGTTCTGAGAACATGTCTTCATGCGTCTTCTTCTTCCTCCGACTAATCTGCGCTAGCCTCTGGGAGTGTGCTGACAGGCTGGGTTGGGAGACAGTCGCAGATGTGTCTGTGTGAATTGTAAAAAGGGAGTGAATTCCTGAGACAGATAAATGAAATTGTACACAAAGAACCTAGTCTTTCTCTGTGAACAAGACCATGCACTGCACCTCTCACATGCGCACTCAGGACAAGGTCGAATTTTCGGCCCTCGCCTTCAGTGCCTGTGGACTTGCGGTGGTCTTGGAGTGATCTGAGAAGCGTGGCTGGAGACCTGAACTTCTGGAGCGGGCAATCATAGTAAGCCGTAGACTTGTGGCTGCTTAAAACTCTATTGTAGCACTGGCCTCCTTTCACATTGAAAGCAATGCCAGTCTCTGCTGCCAGCAATCAGGACAGCATCAACTCTGCCCCTGTCCCACCCCCTCGCGGCTGTCCCAGGGAAAGATCCCTGTATGCTGCCCCTCTCCCTCCACCGCGTGGCTGTAAAGCAGTCCCAATACTAACATTCCCCTCCCTAATTCAAAGCAGGGCGTCATGAGCGACATCACCCTCCTGAGGATCTCGGACACCCAGAAGGAACGCATGCTGAGGGAAAGCATGCAGAAACCGGGGCCGTATGCCGCCATGCTATGTCGAGCCATGATCCCGGAGTACTTGATTGTGGCGTGGTGGGGACACGTGTGCTACCACGGAGGGCCCAGTAAGATCGCCCTACCCCGGAACCTGATAAACAGGCTGGAAATCTACCTCCACGAGACCTACGAGGAGTTCTCCTACGAGGATTTCTCATCAATCCCCGGCCATATTGACCGGATTTTCGCCTAGGTGCACTGGGACTATAGAGTGGAGCGTCTTGGGCCGCAGAATCATGAAGTACCGGACATTGTAAAATTTTTTTAAAATACTTGGGACTAAATTGTGAAGAGCCTAAGGCAGACAAATCATGAGAAACCCTTTGTTACCATTGTAAATATTCCAGTTTTGTAGCAGATAATTTTTAACTTGTTTACAGCACTTTGATAAAAACACATTCTTAATAGTATGAATATTCCCGTTCTGTTCAAAATAAATGTTTACATGTTTACAGCACTTACTGCCTGATCCTTCCCCTGATTCTGTGTCCGGGGTAAGGGATGGGGACGGTTGGTACGGGATCTCGGTAAGGGTGATGAAGAGCTCCTGGCTGTCGGGGAAATCAGCGGTGCCAGCGCTGTCGACTGCCTCGTCCTCCTCATCTCCTTCTTCATCTTCCCCGTCCGCTAACATGTCCGACGAGGAACCGGCTGCGGACAATATCCCATCCTCAGAGTCCACGGTCACGGGTGGGGTAGTGGTGGCGGCCGCACCCAGGATGGAATGCAGTGCCTGGTAGAAACGGGATGTGTGGGGCTGGGATCCGGAGCGTCCGTTAGCCTCTTTGGTTTTTTGGTAGCCTTGTCTCAGCTCCTTGATTTTCACGCGGCACTGCGTTGCATCCCGGCTGTAGCCTCTCTCTGCCATGGCTTTAGAGATCTTCTCGTAGATCTTAGCATTCCTTCTTTTGGAGCGCAGCTCTGAAAGCATGGACTCATCGCCCCACACAGCGATGAGATCCAAGACTTCCCGATCAGTCCATGCTGGGGCCCTCTTTCTATTAGATTGCACGGCCATCTCTGCTGGAGAGCTCTGCATCGTTGCCACTGCTGCTGAGCTCACCTCGATGTCCAAACAGGAACTGAGATTCAAACTGCCCAGACAGGAAAATGAATTCAAATTTTCCCGGGGTGTGGCTGGTCAGAGCATCCGAGCTCGGACTGCTGTCCAGAGCGTCAACAGAGTGGTGCACTGTGGGATAGCTCCCGGAGCTATTAGCGTCGATTTCCATTCACACCTAGCCTAATTTGATATGGCCATTTCGAATTTAGCGCTACTCCTCTCGTTGGGGAGGATTACAGAAATCGATTTAAAGAGAGCTCTATGTCGAACTAAATGGCTTCGTGGTGTGGACGGGTGCAGGGTTAATTCGATATAACTGCGCTAAATTCGACATAAAAGCCTAGTGTAGACCAGGCCTAAGAGAAGCTATGGATAGTTTCCTATCTTCCATCTAGTGAAATTCAGTGTAAAGGGAATTTTCTTTATACGTATTAGAGACCAGTTTGCCACAGGTAGCTCCTGCTGAAGAGTGGTGAAAACAAAATTCTATCAAACTCAAAATCTTTTCCCATTTGCAATGTTTCTTTGAAACTCTGCTCATCGTATAATGTGAGATGCCATTTAGCATTGTTTAGGCTGTCTAATATGATCAGAGGTACAGATAGCTCCTGGAGAATATAGAAAACCTTATGTTATTAGGATGCAACTTGCTAGTACTTAAGGCCTTACCTTTTAAAAACTTATCTAAGCACTTCTTTAATTTAGAGTTTGACATCCTAATACAGGGATCGGCAACCTTCGGCACATGGCCCATCAGGGTAAGCCGCTGGCGGGCCATGAGACATTTTGTTTATGTTGACCATCCGCAGGCATGGCCCCCCGCAGCTCCCAGTGGCCGCGGTTCGCCGTTCCCCGCCAATGGGAGCTGCGGGAACGGCAAACCGCAGCCACTGGGAGCTGCGGGAGGGCCATGCCTGCAGACTGTCAATGTAAACAAATGTCTTGCGGCCTGCCAGCCGATTACCCTGATGGGCTGCTTGCCGACTCCTGTCCTAGTACATTCAGTATAATTCTTAAATATCACAAATGGTCTAATCTTCCTCCGAAATGTTGTACTCGATCTCTGAATGAATTTAGTACTCTATATGCTGGGATTTGGCTTTTAAAACACTGATAAGCAGTGTTATTTCAGCTCTCAAAACACATGGTAGTTATTTTTATTAATTTTGCCTTAAAAACACCCAGCTGAAGATTTGCAAAAATGGAGTGACATCCAGATTAACACTTGGTGTCTGATGAAAATTTAGGGTAAATAATAGAGGACTATGGGGGGAGGGATTGTATCTTTAGTTTAGTATTGGTAAACTGATGCATACCTGATTTTTTTCCTTTTTTTAAAAAAGGGGTTTGTTCAGTTAAATAGAAGTGAATTGGTTTGTTAGACCACTTCTCTTTAATCTCTTTCTGTAACAGAGAAGGTCATAGCTGTGAAGATGAGTTCTGAAGCCAAGCTTATGCCTTCAAAACGAATTCATTACTTTATAATCAGGGCTTTGGAGCTGTGCTCACTTTGGAGCTCCACTCCAGCTCCAGGCAAAAACCTGCAGCTCCACTGCTCCAGCTCTGGGCTCCACTCCAAAGCCCTGTTTTTAATGTGTTCTCTTTGTTTCTGAAGGCAGACAGCCCTTGTTCATAAGGATGCATTGGAGAAATGTTAATGGAAAAGCTTTAAATTCCTCAGGATTGATGCAAAAATGTTTGATTGTACTATACCAAAGCAATATTAAGCATCATTTAACTCTTTTATATATATTTTTATTTTTTTCTTCAGTGCATCTCCCAAGCCCTGTCTGCTGTTCCCTGCAACAGCCTCCTAAACTCTGCCTAATACTCTTTCTCACCACAAACCCTGTCACCCTTCTCATACAACCCCTTGTTCTCAGCAGTTGCCTATTTTGAACAAGAGTGGGTAATCCAGCAGACAGTGGATGGCTGAGTAGAGACCTTCTCCACCTGTGTCTATGTAATACACTGGCAGAGTGTGGGTTATGTCCCCCTCTACTGGTTGTTCCTCTAGAATATACAGCCTATCACTGCTCCAGATAGTGGAATTACAACTTTAGTTGTTGACCCCACACATTTCTGAAAATGGGCATCTCTGACTGTGCTCACTCCTTTGTAAGCGCCCATCCTTCAACATGCACATGTTCTGAATGCCCAACCAGCCCGTTTGAAAATTGTCAACATATGCATTTCTTGTTTGCACCCAGGATGTACCCATATATAAGGATTTATGCCCACATGAGCCTCTTATTCTCATGTGGTTTGTTTTTCTTACCTATCTCACACGGGTTTTGTGCAGCTTACTGGGTAAAAATGTGAGACACTTGCAGAGTTTCTAATAGAACCCAGGAGTTATGGTTCCCAATTCAGTGCTCTAACAGCTATACGACACTACCTTTCATGTGTCCATTTGATTATGTGGATCATAATTTTAGTTGATATCCCAGTTACACTTTTAAAAATAAATAGGCTGCATCTCTGCTCAATACTGAGAGAAATATTACTCACCAAACTATCATTAAAAGCCAGAGACTTTAGAAAAGTTTTCCTGGCAGTTATTTTAGTTTTAATTACTGAATAATCACCATTTCCCATATATAATAGAATCTAGTGTGTCTCCACATCATTTCACAAATGGTGGCCTCAAGGCCAGCATGACAGCTTCATGGTATTGTACTGTAGTTGCCCACAGGGAGTCTGAGTTTGTGTGCTGACTGAGTTCACCATTGAGTACTCTAGTGGGCAAGGACAAGAAATGTAATGTGGACACAGTGTTCTCAGCCCTTGTGGAGGCATAAGTGTCTCATATCACTGTCCTCTGAATATGTCTGGCCAACCACAGGAGTAGCTTTGGGCAGGTGATTGAAGGAGCCACCACACCAAGCTTTTTCATCTAAGGCAAGGTCAGAGCAATGCAGGGTCTTTGGAAGGGCATAGAAGAAGAAGAGTGATTCCAGAGGATCCTGTCTAGAAGATGTCATAATCAACAGTATCAGTACTATATAATGGTGCTATTGCATTTAATGCTTTGGTTTCTTTATGAAATATATCTGATCATAGAAAAATGATTAAACTTTTATTTTGTGCTCTTTTTTTTCTGCGTTTTTTAGGTCATTTGAAAGAAGCAATAGATGATGCTAACAAGGCCGTCGAGTTAGACCCTTTGAACCCGGTAAGTAATAGTGACATGAACTGGTCCCTGATACACATTGTACGTGGTTTTATTCATATGTAATTTTACTCTTTTCTGGGAACTGTGCACAAAGTTAGTCTGTACCAACATATCCTATTCCTGTTACCTCATTTTTCCCCTTGAGACTTTGTGCTGACTTGCTTGTCTCATCCACTTGTTATAGCTTGTCTCTTAGTCTGTAAAGCCTGATTAACAAAGATATTTTGGTGCCTAAACCCAAGATTTAGGCCATCAAGTGCCTGTTTTAGGTTTCACTGAGATCCACAAAACCTCCACTCAGCTGCCACCTAGCCCTGTAGGCATCTAAACTCGGTGCTTAAATTTTCTGGGTAAGAGTTCCCTAGGTGTCTATGTTTCTGCTTCTGGGCATGTGCACTGCTGCCTCCCTCTAGGCATCTGGATACTGGTCTCCTGTGAAGCCACAGTGTGATCCAGAAACCAGGGGAAAATAGACACCCCTCTGCCTGTGTCACCTGTGGAGCCCAATCTGGTAGATGTACTCAGTGGCTGCTTACTGGATCAGATCCCATTCAAAATGTTGTGTGTGCATATATGTGCGTGTGTGTGCCTCAGGGAGAGAAGGGATTTGAATAGGGGTCTCCCACATCTCTCAGGAAAATATCCTAACCACCGAGCTATGTGGTGTTCTGATTTGAGGCTACCTCAGTGTCTCTTGCTGAAGCTGTTCCACTTTGGATAAATACTTAAATCATCATTGAAAAAGAGAGAAACTCTATAGCTTGGTGGTCAGGGCACCCAGCTTGGAGGTGGAAGACCTACAGGCCATTCCCAGGCCCGCTGACAGCAATTCTAGGACCAGGGCCAGAGCCGACCCTAGGGAGGGGCAGCGCCCAGGGCAGAAGTGACGAATCCGTCACTTCTGGGACTGCCCGTCACTCCCAGGCATGCGCGACCGCTCCAGACCCCGAGCTTTTGTGGGGACCCACAGGCCGGCGCGATTGGCCAGCATGGTCACATGCATATGAACCCTGCGGCCTGCCTGGACAATTTAAAAGGGCCCGGGCCCCTGGGCAGTTGCCCCATTTCCCGCCCCCTGTCAGCGGGACTGGCCATTCCCATGTTGCAATGGTTAAGTATTTATCAAAAGTGGAACAGTTTCAACAGGATAGATTGAAGGAGCCCCACATCATAAGAACATAAGAATGGCCCTACTGGGTCAGACCAAAGGTCCATCTAGCCCAGTATCCTGTCTTCCAACAGTGGCCAGTGCCAGGTGTCCCCAGAGGGAATGAACAGAACAGGTAATCATCAAGTGATCCATCCCCTGTCGCTCATTCCCAGCTTCTGGCAAACAGAGGCTAGGGACACCATTCCTGCCCATCCTGGCTAATAGCCATTGATGGACCTATCCTCCATGAATTTCTTATATATCTAGTTCTTTTTTTAACCCTGTTATGGTCTTGGACGTCACAACATCCTCTGGCAAGGAGTTCCACAGGTTGACTGTGCATTGTGTGAAAAAATACTTCCTTTTATTTGTTTTAAACCTGCTGCCTATTAATTTCATTTGGTGATCCCTAATTCTTGTGTTTTGAGAAGTAGTAAACAACATTTCCTTATCTACTTTCTCTACACCAGTCATGATTTTATAGACCTCAATCATATCTCCCCTTAGCTGTTTCTTTTCCAAGCTGAAAAGTCCCAATCTTATTAATCTCTCTTCATACGGAAGCCTTTTCATACCCCTAATCATTTTTGTTGCCCTTTTCTGAACCTTTTCCAATTCCAATATATCTTTTTTGAGATGGGACGACCACATCTGCACACAGTATTCAAGATGTGGGCATACCATGGATTTATTTAGAGGCAACATGATATTTTCTGCCCTATTATCTATCCCTTTCTTAATTATTCCCAGCATTCTGTTCGCTTTTTTGACTAACGCTGCACATTAAGTGGATGTTTTCAGAGAACTATCCACAATGACTCTAAGTTCTCTTTCTTGAGTGGTAGCAGCTAATTTAGACCACATCATTTTATATGTATTGTTGGGATTATGCTTTCCCGTGTGCATTACTTTGCATTTATCAACATTAAATTTCATCAGCCATTTTGTTGCTCAGTCACCCAGTTTTGAGAGATCCTTTTGTAGCTCTTTTCAGTCTGCCTGGGTCTTAACTATCTTTAATAATTTTGTGTCATCAGAATATCCCCAGCTCAGTGGTTAAGAACATGTTTTGGGGTGATGTGGAAGAACCCTGTTTAAATACCCCCCCCACCCTTCAGGTGGAGGGGAAAATTGAACCTGGGTCTCCCCCATCCTAGATGAGCGTTCTAACCACTTGGATAAAAGTTATAAAGTGTGGGGCAAAGGCAGCACAACTATCATCATATATTTCTCTGACCATTTTGTGTGGAGAGAGAACAGCAACTAAGCCCTGGTCTACACTACGGGGCTAGGTCGAATTTAACCGCGTTAGGTCGATTTTAAAATGAATGCGTCTACACAACCAACCCCGTTCTGTCGACCTAAAGGGCTCTTAAAATCGACTTATGTACTCCTCCCCGGCGAGGGGAGTAGCGCTAAAAGCGACCTTGCTGGGTCAAATTTGGGGTAGTGCAGACGCAATTCGACAGTATTGGCCTCTGGGAGCTATCCCAGAGTGCTCCAGTGTGACCACTCTGGACAGCACTTTGAACTCCGATGTACTAGCCAGGTACACAGGAAAAGCCCCGGGAAATTTTGAATTTCATTTCCTGTTTGGTCAGCATGGCAAGCTCAGCAGCACAGGTGACCATGCAGTCCCCCCAGAATTGCAAACGAGCTCCAGCATGGACCGAAAGGGAGACACTGGAGCTGATTGCTTTATGGGGAGAAGAATCTGTGCAGGCCGAACTCCGATCAAAAAGAAGAAATGCTAATATATATGCCAAAATCGCACAGGGCATGGTGGACAGAGGCTACAACAGGGACACACAGCAGTGCTGTGTGAAAGTTAAGGAGCTCAGGCAAGATTACCAAAAGACAAAGGAGGCAAATGGTCGCTCCGGGTCAGAGCCCCATACATGCTGCTTCTATGATCAGCTGCATGGCATTCTAGTGGGGGACCCTACCATGACCCCACCACTGTCCATGGACACCTGCAAGGGAGGAGTCTCACGCAACAGGCAGGAGGATTTTGTGGATGAGGAAGAGGAGGAGAATGCACAGCAGGCAAGCGGTTAAGCCGTTCTCCCCAGCAGCCAGGACCTTTTCATCACCCTGGAGCCAATACCCTCCCAAGGTGGGATCCCTGACCCTGAAGGCGGAGAAGACACCTCTGGTGAGTGCACATTTGTAACTACAGTACAGGGTTTAAAAACAATAGTGTTTAATGTTTGATTTGCCCTGAAGAATTGGTATGCATTCGTGGCCAGTACAACTACTGGAAAAGTCTGTTCACGTGTCTGGGGATGGAGCGGGAATCCTCCAGGGACATCTCCATGAAGCTCTCCTGGAGGTACTCTGAAAGCCTTTGCAGAAGGTTTCTGAGGAGGGCTGCCTTATTTCGTCCTCCACGGTAGGACACTTTACCATGCCAAGTCAGTAGCAAGTTGTCCGGAATCATTGCAGCACAAAGCATGGCAGCGAATGGCTCTGGGTTTTGGTCGCATTCAAGCAACATTCGGTCTATATCTTTCTGTGTTAGCCTCAGGAGAGTGATATAATTCATTGTCACCTGGTTGAAATAGGGGAATTTTTGTAAGGGAACAGTAAAAGGACCCCGTTCGTGCTGGGCTGTTTGTGTTTGACTAAAAGGGATCATCCCAGAGAATAGCCATGCAGCGAGGGGTGGGGTGAAGGGATCATCCCAGAGAATAGCCACACGGTGGGGTGGGGGAAGATGTGTGCTGCACATCCACCTGAAAACCGCAGCCCCTCCTTTTCAATGTGAAACCCAACCGGCATTGCTTGCTATGGGAAAGGAGGGCGCTGCAGTTTGAAAACATTCCCACATGTTATGAAGGCATAAGAAGCCAACCCCACATACCAATTGGCTTACCATGGCTGCCTGGAAACCGAATTCTGTTGCCCAGCCGTGTGTGATGTGTCACCATACCGGCAGGCACTCATATAAAAGGCAAAATGCGACCTTGTACCTAAAGCACATGTGCTGTCTGCTGTGAATTACTTGATTCACTGTGAAAGCATTTTCCTTTTGTTTTCAGAAATGTATAATCTTAAATTTTACTCTCCCTTTTTATCCCCCCCGCAGGTGCAAATGCTTCTATGCTCCTCCGATAATCTCCGTCCCTCAGGTTATCGCAGATTAGAAGGCGAAAAAACCGCACTCACGATGACATGTTTTCCAAGCTCATGTTGTCCTCCCGCACTGATAGGGCACAGCTTAATGCATGGAGGCATTCAGTGGCAGAGGCCAGGAAAGCATTAAGTGAGCGCGATGAGAAGAGGCAGGAGGCGATGCTGAGGCTAATGGGGGAGCAAATGGACATGGTGAGGCATCTGGTGGAGCCGCAGGAAAGCCAATAAGAGCACAGACACCCCCCTCTTGCATCCACTGTATAACCGCCTGCCCTCCTCCCCGAGTTCCATATTCTCCTCAGCCAGATGCCCAAGAATGCGGGGGGGAGGCTCCGGGCACCCAGCCACTCCATTCCATAGGATGTCCCAAGCAACAGAAGGCTGTCATTCAAATAGTTTTGATTTGTAGTGTGGCTACAATAAGCAATGTGGCCTTGTCCTTCTCTCCTCCCCCACCCCACCCGGGCCACCTTCTCAGTTATCTCATTTTTTTTTTAATTAATAAAGAAAGAATGGATGGTTTCAAAACAATAGTTACTTTATTTCCTTTGCCAGCTGTGATCGAAGGGGGGAAGGTGGTTGGCTTACAAGGAATTAAAATCAACAAAGGGGGCGGGTTTGCATCAAGGAGAAACACACACAACTGTCACACCGTAGCCTGGCCAGTCATGAAACTGGTTTTCAAAGCCTCTCTGATGCGCAGCGCACCTAGCTA